TCTGATAGATTTTCCTTTGAGGACTTATTCTATACTTTGATCTCAAAAACCTTCTGGCAGACTTCCTCCTGATGTTTGAAGACACGTTGGTTGTCCCTTAAGCCCCCTGCTCATTTGGATGCAAGTTCAATTTATCCAAGGCTTTTTTCCCAACGTCTGATGGCTGCCTTATCCCAGTTCAGCCATGCTGGCTGTCCCCTTCCCTCCCCAAATCTTTTTGGGCCAGGTGGCACACGTTTGCTCTCTAAACAGCCTCCAGCAGCTTGCATAGATTTTGCTCTTTGGGTTAACCCTTTTAATTATCTTTTTTTTTTAATGATGGCCTCACTTGCCTGCACACGTTTGCTCTCTAAACAGCCTCCAGCAACTTGCATAGATTTTGCCCTTTGGGTTAACCCTTTTAATTATCTTTTTTCTTTTTTTTTTTAATGATGGCCTCACTTGCTAATCATTTTTCTTTAAATAATAATAAAAACCCCATAAAAACCTTGTTTCAATGCATGAAGGATGAGTCAGCTGAAAGAGTTTCCTTTTGTAACACCCCAGGCCCCTGTTGCCCCATCTTTTTGTGCGTCTCTGAAGACAACGCTGGGTACTTGCCGTGTTCTCCGTTGGCTTTTTTCTTGGCATCTTCACCACATCTTTCTTCCACATTCTTCCCTCTCACTGAAGCTGCTCTGCCTCTGCCCCTCCCTCTCACGTTTGGCTTTGGGTGGAAATACGTGATATTTTGGTGCTCCACCTCTCACGCGCGACAAGTGGTGTCGAAGCTTAGCGCGGTCTGACAAACCCGAGCTGTCCAGGTGGGAGGACGAGGATTCACCCAGAATTTGAGCGGCCGCTGGATGTTGCCATTTAGCATTTTTTTTCTCCATTTTTAGTAGATGTCTTATGTTGGCATCCCTGTCAGTCTTAGCAAGAGGGCTGTGGCTCCTTAGCCAGCTTCATCTCCGATGTTCAGCTGCTGACAGATGCCTCCATCCTTACTGTCCTTGCAGCGGGGTGTGGGGCTTGTTTCAGGAGTGACGCTGTAGAGCCACCTCGCACCCAAGCAGGTGAGAAAGTCAGCCCTGTTTGCAGTTGTGGTCTCACAAGAAGACACCGGTGTCATTTGGGTGGCAGTTTCTCTAGTCCAAGCCTGTAGATTTACTGCAGCAGCCAGGAGTGGAGGAAAAACAAGTTCACAGGAAGTGGCAAAGACAAGAAGCATGGATGCAACCACTTCTTCATGAGGAAATGCTGATGAACTCAATGGGAGTTGACTGAAATGTCTTACTGTGTCAGGGAGCAGCAGGAGCAGGGCTACTCCCCAGGGAAGGATGAGCTGGAGGTCACTTGGGTACAGGCAATGCCCTCAACAACCGGGAAGCTGGGCCAGGTAGACAGAGCAGGGCGGTGATGACAGGGTCCATGGACAGCCCCAGGCAAGGTGAGATGATGAACAAGGTTCTGGGTCCATCCAAGATGTTCAGTCAGGAGTGACAGGAAGTGGGACTGGAGACAGGACTGACTGCACGTTTGAGGTCCATGGAGGAGATGAGGTTGGAGGAAAGTCACCTACAACCTAGGTCTGAAGTCCATCCACAAAATGAAGCCAGAGGCAGAACTGGAGGCATGTTTGCCTTCAACATAGCTCAGGCCAGGACTGGGTGCTCAAGCCTGGGCTCAAATGGAGCTCCTGGGCCATGGGCAGAAAGTGTGGGAGGAGGTCCCAGGTGAGGCTGGTCAGAGCAATTAAGGTGTATTAATACCCTCAGGGCCCTGTCAGTCTTGTAGTAGTGAGGGAAGCCGATCCTTGGGTTGAGTGCTTGAGTCTTCAGCCTTTCCTCAGCCAGCATGGTCTGACTGTGCCCATCTCCCTGCAGGGACCTGGCCAAGGAGAGGTAGGACCTGGCCCAGCCCCCAGGAGCACTCATCTGTGTTGGTGGGGCTTCAGGGAGAAAGAGGCAGCGACACTGTGGGGTTGTGTATCTCTGGAGTGGTCCGTCAGGAGAACAGAGTTGTTCCTGGGTGCTGCTCCTGGATTATGCTCCATCCCTGTCCCTTTGGTAAAGGGTGAGAGAGAAGGAAGAGGGTTTTCCTTGTGTTGAGGAGATCGTTAAACAGAGAGGAGCTTGATGCTCTGAGATTGATGCTCTGTGGACGTGTGAGCAAGGAACCCAGCGAGTGGTGCTGAGCTGGAGGGGGAGCCTTGGGGTGGTTTGGGCAGGGCTGTGGGTTTTTAACTGCAAACTCAGGAATGTGCTATTTTAGGTAGAACTGAAACTCTTCCCAGAGCTCAGACTCCTCCTTGCCCACAGTCTGTCTGG